AAAGAGTTCGCATATATAACACCAAAATACGCTTAGGAAAAGGTAGGTAATAAACTTGCTATAATACCGGAGGTATAATCTTTAACTAATGTCGGCAAAAATTCTCATGAATACCATATCACTGGTGGGGACATTGGGAAAGGGTCAGAAGGTCTACATTTAATACAATGCAAAGGGTACAGTAAGTTGTAGTTCCTCACAGCGGGGTGAAGCGAATGAAAGATCTTATAGATCTCATTAAACAGGCACTGATAGCATTCTATCTGACTTACGCTGTTATTAATTCTTTCATATTAGAAAAAAAACCATCTGGTAACTCCCGCATGTCGTTGTAATGAAAGTACCTACGAGTTAATCAAGAGCAGTTAAGCTTAGCAAGCAATACAAGCTCGTGTTAGACAATTTCATGTATTTCTTAAACTTGCTGCATCAGTTACTGGGAGGTCACATTTTCGTCCAAATCCAAATCATTACAAGATACCTATGCAAAAAGCGATGAGAACTCAGTAATAAGGAAAAGTGGGTAAGAATTGCTAACCAGGTTACATCTTAAGCATAAGTTAATCAAGCATCTGTTGGTGTCTGTATTTATCCAACATACTCTTAATTCTTGGCGACCAATTTAAGATTTTCTTGAATTCAATAATAGAACTCCGTTAAGTTCGTATACGCCCTGAATAAACTCAGTAAGTGCATACTCACAAGAATCGAATGTTCGGCGCGACATCTTTGAATTGTTCATTAGTTATTTCAGTGATTTTGTTTCGATAAAAACTCCTGAGAAAGGAGAAAGCAACGAAAAGTGTACATGTCATGCGAGTATTGCAACATCCTCTCGGAAACTGTTTACTTCAATTCAATTTGTCTCGTTTTGTCTTAAAGTTAAAGCTCCATAATCGTGAGTCAACATAACATGAATGTTTTGTGTAGTATAAGATGAAACAACGAAAAAATTCCTTCGAACCGAGTTTACGCAGGTTACAAAGAAGTCCCTCAGATGGCTAAAGGCTTCGTTAAACAGCATCAGTTAACTTCGATTGGTTTGCCTGACCTCATGATTACACTAATTAAGGGCTGAGAGCCTTTTTCCTTAAAAAGTATAGACTTGATCTTGTGAGGTACGTCACGCCATACCCTTTGTTTGAATCTTGAAGGAACCTGAAGTTGGCTTCCCATAAAGTTCTTGCATTTTAAAAATTTCTTCCTGTCTTTCATATGATCTCACAATCACCTTGGTGTCCACGCACTGAATAAAATGGGTCTTGCATGTGCACTAGACTTATTTTATCCCAAACCAACGTTAATGTTTCGAATATTACCCTGTTGGATGTACGTTGACTGTTGCACAGTGATAACTAACATGATCAGAAGGATAAACTAAGCTAAGACGATAATTCTTTTCATGTCTAATAGTGTCAGTGGTCATTTTGGACATGTCAGAAATTTTATTCGTTATGATCTCTGTGGTTTATGTAAGCTCCCCGGGCTTATACATGTAGATGCAGAGTAAGTAGAGTCTATATTTAAGGTTATGGTGGTATTTAAATACCATTTCATTGCATCGATCAATACACTCAAGATATCTAAGGTGTGCATACGCAGCAAAGTGAAAATATAAAAGGCAACTTAGCTTCAAAAAACTTAAAACTATGCGATTTTGCTTTGGGATAGCAGTAATTCAGGTTTCGTTGGGTGTCCTTCAGTCTATCATGAATAGCAATCCGTACTACTTCTGCTAAAATTTGTTATGAGTCCCACTGCTTTTTGAAGTATTAAATCGTTCATCAAATAAGATACTTACATAGACCTAATCTGTTTCGCGTCCTTAAAAACTCCGCGCGGCAGATTTTCGATATTGTTGTCATAAACAGCCCTTGAAAAATAAAAAAAAGACTTATTTTATCTCTGAAAAACATAAAAACAATCTAAGCATAAATCGATTATTATTGCAAATGTCATTCATGTTACTCTTCTGGCACTCTCACAGAGTATTGAAAGGTAAACCAGCACTCTCCAGGGGTACACCAGCTCGATTAAGTACGCAAAAATCCAAGCAAAAAGTGAGTTTGTCAACTATCCAAAGGTCTCCACGATACATAAAACCAATTAGCTTTTACCATCCAACGTTACTCTTCCCTTTAAGTATGCGTGAGATTCATATTTTTACTTGAAAATTTTTTCTCCTTAAAAGTTAGATATCTATCGAGAATATCGAGCAAAGATGATCTGTTAAGGAAGTTAAGAGTCATTGCTTTTCGTTTTGGTTTTCTTAAACCATCTTTTTCAGATGTCCTGAAAACTTAGAATTAATTTTTAAAAGAAAAAATCGATGTTTTCGCTTACAGGTCTTTTAGTTTAGATAGGCCTTGGAACTGATCAGGAAACAGGGCCACGAGGCTGTTGTTGTCCATGTATCTACACAGTAAATATAACGCAGTGTATGATGT